CAAGGGGATTAAGCGGAGCAATTTGTGATGCAGGTTCTCTGGGTTTTTGGTTTAGCTCTGCTGTCTTTAGCTGGGTGCTGGCATGGGAAATGAAAAATCCGGCTTTGCTTCAGTCCAGAGGAAAATCCGCAATGACAAGTCTGATGACACTTTCAAAGTAAAGGTCACATGTAGCCACTTGAATGTCACTAGCAAAGCTTCCCATCAGCAGGGTGCTGGTGCAAGTTGACCAAAATTAGCATTCATTGTGTCCAAAAATTTCTAAATAAAACGACAGATTTGCCATCTAAAATAAAGGACATGTCAACCAGGCGCATTGCAAGCTTTTCAAAAGTGTGGGGGATGTTGTCTGTGCCTAAAATAAGTTCATGTTATTCATCTTGTTAGTTTAATTTCCATAATAGCGGAGCAGGTGAGAATTTTAGACGCGTCACGCACGTCTCCGTTTTAAACATGTTTAAACTGTTCAGAATACAAATCCAGGCTCTGTCTCGTTAGATTGGTGCAACTAAAGTTTGTACTGAATGAAACTTTACATTAAACCATGTTGAAAAGAAAATTATCCGATTAAATCGTTTCCCCTCATTTACAGTCAGAAGTACAGCTTATACGCGTGGCTCTGGGGTTAATCAGGTTTAGTTGTTTCTCTTTGCAACAATCTTCACAAGAAGGTAAAACAGTTAAATGGCAGCTTACAGATATTTCCATTTGACTGTTTATTTTGACAGATAAACTCAAGGATGTTGGTTGTTTTGAAAGAATTACCCCGACGCACACTGATGCGCTGACATTTTAATCGTTACGCACATCGCGGAGGTAAAATATTCCCATCAGAACATCAGAGCTTTATACTGGACACTGTGTTCAGCGCGGCTCGGAGCGCCCACGGTGGACAGTGAGCTGAAGATCTGCAGAGGGGTTCGCAGCGCAGTGCAGAACCACGGCGATGCGGTAAGATTTCCTCCCACTGAAGCGGTCTGGAAAGCCGGTCTCTCTGAGGGATGTGTCACTTGGAAAAATGTTCTCTGATTATGAAACTTTGGCTGAACAGCGCTTGTTCCCGTCTCTAATATGGAGATGCATGACGCATCCAGTCTGAGGCAGAATAGCCTCTTCAGCTCAGAAAGCACCTGTAGAGACATTTGATCACGCACAAAGTTTATGTGGAGCAGAAGCGGTCGGGCCACGGCAGGTGAAACGTTCCTAGCCTACATGAAGTGAAACATTAATATGTTACTGGACATGCTGGTCTGGTTGGTTAGACCAGTGTTTGAAGTGGAAAACACACACACACACACACACACACACACACACACACACACACACACACACACACACACACACACACACACACCAGTTAAAATAATGCTGACAGCGTGGACTAGAAGCCAGGTGATGGTTTATGTATTTAAATGATGATCAGGCTGCTGTAAAATGTAATCTCCATCCACATCCAGACACAATTATCCTCTATTCTTTCTCTAGTTGCTCTGCTCTTGTCTGGGCTGACGTAGCTGACGGTGCGCGCGGCGCGCCTAACTAGTGGCTGATGCACATTTTACGCATTTGGAGAGGTGGGCCGCAGCTTTGCTTTTACTGGAAGATGGATTTTTTTTCCAAAAATGTGGGAGATTTTGCCCCATGAATAACCGTAAAAACTACTGGTGTGCATGTACCCTTATGAAAGAGTCCTACGTTGAGAGGTAAATATTAGAAGTGCAGGTAATGCAGTCTGGTGCCTATAAATGAAAAATGAATTTATGACGTCTTTTTAAACTACATTTTCTAGCGCGACCTGCCTGCTTCACTAAGTCACTGCTTATTAAGGTCCGTCCAAAATTACCGTGGCCCACCCAAAAATGAAAACGTGGCACCGCGCCTGTTATAAACCTCTGTAAATTGTTGTTCTTCACTTTATCAAACTGAGACTTTGTACAGCTAATGTCAAGATGTAAAATTATGAATTCAGTCGAGCTCTTCCGTCCCTCTCCTGTTTCTCCTTGAAACCCGACATCGGCTGTCGGGTTTCAAGGAGAAACAGGTGAGGGAGGGGAAGAAGGAGACGAGGCAAACAGAGTGTGACGTAGAGAAACCAGACCGGTGTGGAAGTGAGCAAAACGGCTGGAAAAGTGAGGGTGTTGAATCCCCCACACCCCCCACGGGTGCGACGCCCATGATGTCAATAAAGATCCAGCTGCTCACACATAAAAATCCTGCCTGCTTTTCTTACAGTTCACACGTCCCATCTCTCTTCATGTTGTACTGATCATTTTGTTTGTTCTCACATCTCCATGGTCTTGCCCCCGTGTACTTATCTGACCTCCTTTCAATTTATACTCCCAGTCGCACACTCAGGTCCTCCAGCCGGTTGCTCCTCGAGGTCCCGAAAGCGTGTCACAAATCATGCGGACAAAGAGCTTTCTCTGTTGCGGGCCCTGGACTGTGGAACGAACTTCCAGTCACGGTTCGACTGGCATCCACCTTGGCAGATTTTAAGTCTAGACTAAAGACACACTATTTTACCCTTGCTTTTAACAGTTAGCTGTTAGTTTGGCTTTTACTACTCTTATTTAATCGTCCATTGTAATGGTTTCATTGGTTTTATTGGTTCTTTTTTGTCAGCTTGTCTTTTTTTAACTGTTGGCTGTATTTTATAGTACTGTTTTATGTTTTTTATCTCTATTATTGTGCGAATGTTCAGCACTTTGGTCGGCCGTATGGCTGTGTTTTTAAAGTGCTATATAAATAAAGGTGGTATGGTATCTCAAATGGCCAAACAGCTAAATGTGCAATCCCTGCCATGTTCTCCTCATCTTTTTCCCATTACGCTGATCCAAGGATAACATGTTGAACTTGTTTAAAGCTTTTCAAAGCGATGAGGGAAAAGTCTCTGGTATTTCGCTTTGTTAAATCCACATCCTGCTCTCACTGTAAATACATTCTTTACAAGGTGAGGCTAACATTAGAGCCATATCTCCTCTGGATTATGGCTAAAACCGTTCAGCACATAAACAAATGTAGGTTTTCCCAAGCAGAGCGCGATGTGGGATTTATTTTCCACCTCTAAAAATAAAATGGACCTAAACAAGATGGAAGCATCCATCTGCAGGGAGAGTGATAGGAAGCAAATTCCCAGCCCCTATAGGCGCTTACAAAAACACATTCTCCTGTCATGGTGGTGCTGTGGAGGCAGGGTACTTTGTCTGGAGGTCATGAGACTCTTGTCCATTGTTGCTCGACTGACTTGCATCTCTCTGGTCTCAGGGGACTGACTGGGGCCTTCGTGCCCCCGCTGAATTCCTTTCCTTTGAGAAAATTGTGGAGAAACTGGAGCACTTATTGTTGACTGCAGCACTTTAGCAACTCAAAGAAGGCAGCGGCAAAAACAAAACCGCAGGTCTTCGAAGGTCTTTCTGTGACCCCTCACCTTGTGCTTCGTCTGAGAGAAAACTCCGGGACGGAGTACCGCGGTTGTCATGAGATGACCTCGAAAAAATGTGGTGCTCTGCTGAAACAGAGAAATCTCCCACTGAGACTTGCCAGTTTGGCCAGTATAATTCCTCTTAGATTGGCCAGATACATCAGCAAACGTGATGCGTAGGTCAAAATAAGTTCAACGTGAGTCATATTACTAATTACAAATGTGAAGCAACTTCAAATCCGGCTCAAAAACGAGCCTCAAATGTTGAGAAAATGTGTGGCCTTTTTTTTTTAAATCCATCTCATCGCTTGCGTCCAACAAGCCTCAGAGATATCAGCGTTTCGAGTCAGGACAAAAGCCGTTTCCTGGCACACGCAGCATGTCAACAGCCTCTTACACCAAATCCTCCATTCTGTAACCACAGCTTCCAGTGAGCTGGACGGGCGTTTGGCCACCGGTTCTGGATAATATTTGATTTTCCTGCCTTCTCCTTCCCTGAACTGCGATTATGATTGTATCATCGTGTATCGTTGCTTAATGCGGTAAGAGGATTAGACGGCGGTTCTGCCAGAGATGCTTTTCTGTTAAGATTCACAGACGAGGCGTGCTAGCCCACCATCTGGGGGAGCAAATATGTTACAACTTTGTTGCCAGAATGTAAAGTTGAGGCTTGGTTAAACTCGTGCGGACAACGCAGTCGGGTTAAGTTCAGAGTATTTACCAAAGCGCTCATTCATTTTTTTACAAGAAAAGGTGCAACGAAGGCCGCTGTTCTTTGACAAATACCCGGATTAGCAAAAAAATAATGCATATTGTATTTTCCTGCAAGCTTTCATGTTATTCTTCTAAGTTTTGAGCGTGTGTGTGTGTGCATGTGAGTGTGTGTATGACAAAGCAGAACCAGCATTTCCTGGTACACAAATCTGTCGAGTCTGAAGCAGACACAAAACAAAGATGTCGAATGTGAGTGTGAAAGAGAGGCGGATGAGATTTCACAGCGCAGTCTGTCTCTCGCAGACGAAACAAGCAGATGTGCTCTCAGAATAAGCGCTTTACACGAACCTTTAAATCCTCTCCTCACAAAAGACCGGCTGAAATATCCCCCTCTTACTTTCCACTATGGGAGCAATGGTTTCCAACTCCCCTGAGTATGCATCCCTAAAAGAAGCCAACCACTTGCATCCTAATTGCTGAACGAACACCATCCGAGGTATGAAAAAAGCAATTTACAAATGTGAGCTGTCAAACAACTGCAGTGAGATTTGAGTCATTAATCAAAGGGCTCATCTCATTATTAGTGAAAACCGCTGACTGTCCATGTCTGCGTCTCTGCAGCTTTGTTGGAGCTTTCGAACCACGAAAGCTGAGTCTCTAGAGGAATTATTAAGAACGGCGTCAACAGACAGTATGAACAATAAGCATTCCTTTAAGCTGAACACTGTCAACATGGAAGAAAATGTCACGTTTGTTATCATCTCTGCATGGAAAACAAGAAAAACTCCAGTTTGAGCTTTTAGATGAGTTTCTGTCTTCACAAACAAGATTACTAGAGGTGAGATCAAACAAAGCAAGTGTTTACCTCCGAGGAGTGCCGTCTTCATGAGGCTGGATTATAACCACCTTGACAGAGACAGATGTGCGCAGCAGGTCAATCATCTGCTCGTGAGTGAGAGTGGCGACGGCCACCTTGCAGATCTCCACCAGCCGGCTGCCCTGTCGCAGACCTGCCTTCCAGGCGAAGCCAAAGGGCTCCACGTCGGCCACAATGCCCTCGAAATTAACATGAAAGCCGAGCTGGCCGAGGCTGTTCCGGCGCAACGTCATCTCCGTCGTCTCACAACCTCTGGTGGTGATCTGGAATCAGAAGCAACATTAAATTACCACCATAGTAGCTCTAAACCAGTGGCAGAGATGAGCGTTAGTTAAGACACATTTAATAATTAACCCTCCCACTGTCTTCATGGGTGACCCTGCAAAGAAATTGACCACTGAGCAGGATTGATGGTTTATTCCTTGAGGTCCACGTGGCAGGGGTGAGGAGTGAGCACCACCTCACCCCTGCCACGTGGACCTCAAGGGATAAACCATCAGTCCTGCTCAATAGTCAACTTTCTTTGCAGGGTCACCCATTCAATTAAATTCAAAAATACTTTACTAAGCCCAGAGGGAAATTGATTGCTGTACTAGCTCAGAATAATAATAATAATCAAGTCATCAAAGAGGTGTTGTATATTACAATGGCTGTTGGCAGGAGGGATCTCCAGTAGCGGTCAGTGTTGCAGCCAAACTGAAGAAGCCTCTGACTGAAGACACTCTTCCGTTGTCGGACAGTCTTGTGAAGAGAATGCTCAGGGTTGTCCATCATGTTCTTGATTCTCTGGAGAATCCCTCTTTGCATGATCTCCTCCAGCGGTTCCACAGTCGTCCCCAGAACAGAACCAGCCTTTTTTATTAGGCTGTTGAGCCTTTTCAGGTCCCTGCTTCTGATGCTACTGCGCCAACAGACGATGGCTGAAGAGATTACACTCTCAACAACAGACTTGTAGAAGATCTGCAGTGTCCAGGCTGCCATCTGCGCAATCCTTCCTCTGCTTGACGCCTGTGATCTTCTTCATCCCTGACCAGACATCGCTGATATTGTTCCTCTGTATTTTGTTCTCCAGCTTCTTCCTGTATGACTCCATGCTGTCTCTGATATTGATCTTCAGTTGCTTTTCTATGCTCCTCAATAATTCCCTGTGTCCCTCCCTGAAGGCTCTTTTTTTCTCATTTAGCAGATTCTTCAGTTCACTGGTGATCTAGGGTTCGTTACTAGCGAAACATCTCACTGTTCTGGTGGGTATGATGTTGTCCACACAGAAGTTTATATAGTCAGTGACACATCCAGTCATGGCATTGATGTCCTCTTCATATCCTTGGCAGAGAGTCATCCAATCTGCGGTCTCAAAACAACTCTGCAGGGCTTCTTCAGCATCCTGTGACCATTTTCTCACAGTTCTTCTTGTCACAGGTTGCCTCTGAACAAGTAGTTTGTATTCTGAGCAGAGAAAAACAAGATTGTGATCTGATCGTCCCAGAGGAGGTCTTGTTTTGGACATGTATGCATACTTTACATTTGCATAACAAAGATCCAATTTCTTGTTTTCTCTGGTGGAGCAGCTGACAAACTGTTGAAATGTTGGAAGTGTAGCAGAGAGCAAGGCATGATTAAAATAATCAGATATAGCCACAAATGCATTGGGGTGCTGGGTTTGTAGCTTAGCGACAACGGAACAGATGGCATCACATGCATTTTCAGCAATGGCTGAAGGTGGAATAAATACGGTTGCCAAGACAGCACTGGGGAACTCTCTTGGTAAATAATATGGGTGACAACTTGTGCCAAGAGTTCAACATCTGGGCTGCAGAGACGACATTTAACTGAAACATGACCTGGATGGCACCATCTGTTTTTGACAAGCACTGCCACTCCACCTCCTTTTCTTTTCCCGCTCCTCTTCAGATCTCTGTCTGCTCGTACAGTCAGGAATCCTGGCAGAGAGACGCTGGAATCGGGCATATGGTCCTGCAGCCACGTCTCAGTGAAGCCCCTAACACTGCACTGCCGAAACTCTGGCTGCGTCCTTGAAAGGGCTTGGAGTTCCTCCATCTTGTTGGCTAGTGATCTCACATTGCCCATTATGATCATGAAGACAGTGGGAGGGTTAAAGCAGGAACGATTATTGCCTTTCATGTCTGAGTGTTAAGACAGTGACAACAGAGGTATAGCAGTTTTGGTCAAATCTTGACAATAGGGTCAAGCATTATATCACAGAATCATTAGATCCCAATCTGTTACCAATATGATTATGGGTTAGGGATGCCTCTCAGCTACTAATACAACCAATTTTAATTCAACATGTGTAAAACTGAGTGAGCTGTTACCATTTCTGTTTGATAACGCCAATCAGCTGTGGGTGCCATCTTGAACTGGGCCAACTTCAAAAGTGAATCAGCTTTAGGTGTTTGGGTGAAAATTATTTTTAGAAATTGTAATGAAATTGTGTCCAGGGGTCCATGGTATATTTATAAACATCTATAAACACATACAGGCAAACATGGTCAATAATTGGACACATAAAGCACACAAAAGAATGAAGAATGAATAAGAGAAAAATATTCTAGACATGAACATCATGTCCTTTGGCAGAACAACCAGGACGTTTGTTAAAGATTTGTACCGAGTTCCTGACACAATTCAAAGATTCAACCACCTTCCTTCAGGCCTTCCCCCTAAGCCACGCCTCCAGAATACAGGAATGCGCAGTACTTGTTCCTGAGGTTTCAGTTCTACGTTTTTGACCTGCTGTTAGAACCTTTTTTGCCATAATTCATGATGTAACACAACGACGTAACTGAATAACAATTTAGTATGCTAGCTAAAATAGTGTGGCATTTACATGGTGCAAAATTAGGTAGTTTGTTTTTAGCTTTCTTGGTTATTTTCATAACTGCAAAATCACAGCAGCTTGGTGCCACCAACAATCTTGGAAAGCCTTGCGAACAACAGGTCAAAACCTCCTGACCCTAACCAAAACTTCCTCTCCGTGGTTCCCTACACACACATTCGCAATGCCAAGGCAACAAACAAGCATCTCTACCAGCCAACAGAGGACAGGCTGCATTTACAGACAACAGGTCCGTCATCAAAATGTTTCCCAACAAGAACAGATCCAGACTCTATACAGAACATTCCAACTGTTACACTAGCTAGCCCAGCTCTGGTTTCACTTCCTGTTCAGCTGCTCCAAGTGATTCGTGCACATAGACGGGTATGCAGAGAGGGGGGAAGGATAGTCAGAGGGCAGTTTGATGGATAGATAAGGAGCCAATTATTAAGAATGGGACATTCACTATGATTGGATGAGGTACATTTCAGTCGATTAAAATGACTCCTTTTTGACTTCTCACACACTCACACACACACACTCACACTCACACTCACACACTCACACTCACACTCACACTCACACTCACACTCACACTCACACTCACACACACACACACACACACACACACACACACACACACACACACACACACACACACACACACACACCTGTCTGTGTGGAACAAGCCCAATCCCACTGTAGAGGCTACAAGGGGGACGATGCATGAACAAGAACCTAATTGGCCCCTGAGACAACAGCAGAGCTGAGTTTGTTAGTCAGAGTTTAGCTCTGGAGCACAAGACAAACACATAATCACACAATCTGCATCGACTGTAGGGACTACAGCTCAACCCTTGACTCATGAATGTTTGAAGCCCGGTCTCAGCCTTTTCACATGAACGTCTCAATGAGGTTTGAGTGCATTCGTGTTCATTCGTGTAAATCTGGCTGCGTGTTTTGTTCATAGGTGGCTTGGCATTACCCTTTTGCTTTAATGTAATTCAGGTTCAGACAAAGTTCAGGCAAACTGGCATCTGCTGGGAAAACTTTCTTCATCTTAAATAAAAAAGTGAAACAAGAGGTTTGAAATTATGCACGCATGGCCTTTACAGGCCTAGTCTACGTATCGGTCATATAGGTGTGAAAGTGCAGAGCAGGACGGGATATTTTTCAGACGATTAAAAAATAAAATAAAATAAGCTGAGGGAGAAGAAAGCCAACTCTACATCCAATGAGCTGCAATCACCCATCAGATTAGTTTCGGTTCAGTTGTGGGTGACTGCTTCCATTTGCTTCAGAGTGGCAGCTGGCTGCTCTGACACATTAACACACACTATGGATTGTCAACACACCACAAGACTCCTCGCCATGGCAGAAAACCGATCCCGCTGTAGGAAAGGAGACCCCCAGACAAACACGCTGCAACGACCGAGCCCTCGTAGTAATCAAACCTACTCCGTTTGTATATTTTCATTTTCTGTTATTGGGATTTTTATCTTGAGAGGCGCTAAAAAAAGACGGTTTTCTTTCAGTCAGAGAAGTTTCGTGACAGTCTCTTATGACATTCGTTACTTTCAAAGACATTCAGGATTAGAACAATAACCTGAACGTGTGTGTATTAATGCAAGAGACGTGCATACCAAACCTGAATAATGAGCTTTAATAGCTGATGGCATACAACTATAAAAAAGGAAGCAAACAGAAGAACGGGGGCTGACAGACATAACCCTGACAGCGATGACACCATCTGCAGAAGCAGATCTCGGGAGACATGACAAAACCGCGTCATTCAGCTGGTCCTTAAAAATCCCAGACCTGCGTCTGTCTGAAGGTGTCGATCAAATGCCGCTCACTTCCTGAGGGCTGCATACTTTTGTTTCTCAAACTCATTAAAGTCTCTATATAGGACAGTGGGTTTTAATGCAATAAAGCCAGCAGAGCAGCTCTAGATAGACGTTAGAGTTTGCAGTGACTCATGAATCCCCCAGCTGGTGCTGATTAACAGTGAACCATTACTTGGTTCACTGATTGACAGAAGCCTAATAAACAAATTGTTACTCATTTAAAATGTCAACATACTGTAATCTACTTTTCTCTGCTCGTACTGCCAGAAAAATGATTTCCTTTGACTCCTTTGGAAAGTAATTTGTAAGAAAGCAGCAGACACCGATTAAGAGACGTCGACAGACAACATAAACAGATCGGAGTCGTAGTTAAACGTGTACATCCACTAATCATGAGAGTGAAACTCATTGATTTTGGGCTTTTAATGATGGATTTGAACAGGTTATTATGCCATTCTTGATTTTTAAAGTCTCTCGTCTCGTCTTCTTCTGCCTATCTGGGTCCGAGTCACGGGGGCAGCATCCCAACCAGGGAGTTCCAGACCGTCCTTTCCCCGGCCACCTCCACCAGCTCCTCCAG